AAAAAAAAAAAAAACTTTCACGAAAAATGCTATTCATTTCGTTTCACTTTTTTTTTTCTCTATAAATTTCAGTAACACAATTAAAAAAATAATTATTATTTTATATGTTTCAATAAAAGAATAATTTACTCTATAAATTTCAACAACACAAATAAAAAAATAGTTATTATTACATATTTTTCAATAAAAAATAATATTAGTCCATTTATGTATTTATTATAACTATCAATCTTATTCAATAAATATTTACTTTTATATTACATCAATCTTGTTCACTGTATTTTTTTTTTTTTTTTTAATTTATTCACAATTTTTAATTTAAGATACTTTCTTAAAAAAAATATTTACTCCACTTTTCCACCTTTTTCCGTAAGCGAGTTGCATTTAGTAATCCATATATATATATTATTTCTATGCTTCGTAATGTTATTTATATATTCAGTAATGAGGAGAATAATTATTTTCTCCGCGAGAAAATTGAGTAATATAGTGTGACAGTAATGCTTCCCTACCCACGGTGGACACATGTTAATATGCTCACCGCTTATGTAGCATGCACACATTGGTGATGTTAATATGTACAAATAAATACATTACCAATGTGTGCATGCCACATAAGCAGTGGACATATTAAAATGTGTCCACCATGGGTAGGGGAGCATTATTCTATAGTGTGGTATTATTTACGTTTTGTACATGCTTGTATCTAGCGGATGTTTTTAGATGGTTTTGGGTGATAAATAGTATGACATTTTATAGCTAAAAGACGAAAAGTTGATTGGAAATGTGACACTCTCCAGATGGATTTGTTACGTGCAACGCAACGCGACACGTGACGGGTCACCTGTCCGAACAGTCTAATCTGTAGGTGGTGAGACCATCCACACTAGGCGGTACGTTATGTTTCTGGGCGGTGAAAACGATTTTTGGCAAGTTTTTGACAGGGAGATTGATACTTGTAGGAAGATTGGCAATGTGATAATCTAGGAGGGATTGGCGATGACGATCCCAGGTGATTGGCAGCAACAATCACCGGGTGATTGGCGATGACGATCCCAGGTGATTGGCAGCAACAATCACCGGGTGAATGTGCCATTGAAAAGGCACGAGTATTGTGTTTTAGACTAGTTGTTATAGATTTAATCGATATTCAACATTTTAAATTAAAAGAATAAAAATTTAGATTATAAATTATATGTTTCAATTTATTAATTCGATTCATATTTATGCACAAGTTAGAGTGGATTTAGGGTACCCATGATTGTTTTCTCACAAACATCAACAATTTCTACTAGTATATATAGAATAGGAAGCATTTAGCATTGTGGTGTAACCGTGTAAAGTAGTATTTAGTTATTATTAGTATTTAATATTATTATTTAATAAGTAGCTTGTAGGACAAGCTAGAATCTATATCCCCTTGACCACTCTATTCATACGTGGAATCGGGGGAATTGGAATTTTTGATTTCAAAAATCACCCGTGTATTACACGGGTGTTTGCTAATTTTTTTTCTTAAAATCTAAAATTAATGAGAAAAAGTAGCTTGAAAATTTAAATACCTTTTATAAGAATACATATATATATATATTATTATATATTTATTATGACACTTTTTATTTGTGCAGCTTACTTGTGTTATATTATACTAATTTTTTTTAACTTACAATATATAACTACATTACATATAAATATATCAATTGAGAAATAATTTTATTTTTGTAATGAATTTTAATAAATATTATTATTTTTTATTATTATAAAGATAAATATAATTTATTTATTTCATATATACAATATGGATGTCAAATCGAAGATCATCAAAAGATGATTAATTTGATATATTATATATGTAAAACCGATAAGAAATTCAAAAGTTATCAACTTTTAAAATAAAATTATAATTCAATAGCTTATTGAAGGAAAACAAATCAAAATTTAGGGATATTTTAGTCACTTAGTGCCTCACTATGTAAAATTACAAAGAATTAAAGGGTTATATTAGTAAAAGTGATATTAAAATACCTAAGTTAGCTAAATAATATTTATGGAATACCCGAACCTAGATTATTAATCCTCCCTATATATAATTCCAGAATGCGCTGAGCCTACGTGGCTGCTTCTGGTGCTTCGAAATCCTATTTGGCGAAGAATCATGCTTCGTAATTAGGTTTGGACAGATAATATTAATATATTAATAATTAATAATCTAGGTTCGGGTATTCCATAAATATTATTTAGCTAACTTAGGTATTTTAATATCATTTTTACTAATATAACCCTTTAATTTTTTATAATTTTACATAATGAGGCACTAAGTGACTAATATATCCCTAAATTTTGATTTGCTTCCTTCAATAAGCTATTGAAATATAAAGGCAAAATTGCATTTTATGCCCCGTAACTAGGAGTGTGTGGCAAATGTGGACAACTTCTTTTTGGTTTGGCAAAAGTGCCCGGAAACTTGTTAAAACCCGAAATTCGTGCCCAATTTGGGCACAAATTTCAAATTTTAACAAGTTACTGTCCTGTTTTGTCACACAAGAAACCGGTCAAATCCGGTAACTTGTAGGTAAATGGGCACGAATTCCGGGTTTTAACAAGTTTTGGGGCACTTTTGCCAAACCAAAAAGAAGTTGCCCACATTTGCCACACACGTATAGTTACAGGGCACAAAATGCAATTTTGCCAAATATAAATGTATTTTAAAAGTAGATAACTTTTGTATTTCTTATCGGTTTTACATATATAATATATCAAATTAATCATCTTTTGATGATCTTCGATTTGACATCCATATTGTATATATAAAATAAATAAATTATATTTACCTTTATAATAAATAAAAATAATAATATTTATTAAAATTCATTAGAAAAATAAAATTATTTCTCAATTGATATATTTATATTTAATGTAGTTATATATTGTAAGTTAAAAAATTAGTATAATATAACACAAGTAAGTAGCACAAATAAAAAGTATCATAATAAATATATAATAATATATATATTCTTAAAAAAGGTATTTAAATTTTCAAACTATTTTTTCTCATTAATTTTAAATTATAAGAAATAAATTAGCAAGCACCTGTGTAATACACGGGTGTTGTACTAGTTATTAATATATCAATATTATTTATCCAAACCTAATTACGAAGCATGATTCTTTGCCAAATAGGATTCCGAAGCACCAGAAGCAGCCACGTAGGCTCAGCGCATATATATAGGGAGAATAAAAAGTCATTCTATTTACTATAATTAGTAGTAAGAAAAGTCAAATGTAATTAATGCATTCTATTTCCATTAAGTATTTTATTTAATTATTTTATCTCATAGCACTTTTTCAATACAACTTACCATAATTTTTCTATTGTGATTAAAAATCAGATTTTAGGTTTAAAATCTTGTGAATCTATTTTCCTTATACAAAATCGACCTTGCAAATTGTTTAGCATAAAAATGATGGGCAAAGGATAACCGAGTTACCCGACTCGGGTCGATCTCGAAGGAAGGCTATTCGGAGCTTCGTCTACTATATGATCGTCCAAATCACAAAAATCGAAAATAAAATCCTAAACATTATAAGCAATTGATTGGGGGTTTGATTATCACTAGACGAGCACTTAAAACGAGCAATC